GGTGACAACATGTCACACACATATAAATAACGGTCGTTCCATAACTTTAAAGTTAAACATAATTAATACTCGAAATAATGTGAGAATACCAATTTTCCAAGTCTAGGGGCATTTGGGGAAATCTTAAGAAGCCGAATACCAAAGGCATAGCTTTACCAATTCCCTAATTTAGAGTATTCTTGGTATATTTCGTAAGTCGAATATTAGAACTGTGCTTAAAAGTCCAATCCCAAAGCATAGGGGTATTTTGGTAATTTTATTAAGCAATACTCAAAGTATTGTTAAAATACCAATTCCCTAATTGTGAGGTCATTTTGGTAATTTCACGAGAATAATAATCAAAATAAAGCATAAATACCAATTCCCAAGATATAGGGTCATTCCGGTAATTTTATAAAGCAAATACGTAAAATATCGCTAAAATACCGATTTTCACATTGTAGGGTCATTTTGGTAATTTCATAGAGATTAGATTTAAAATAACACTTAGATACCAATTCCTAAGACATTGGTTTATTTCGATAATTTTATAAAGCAAATACGTAAAATATTGCTAAAATACCGATTTCCAAATATAGGGTTGTTTTGGAAATTTTATAAAAATAATAGTAAAAATGAAGCTCATAGACCAATCCCCAARACATATGGTTATTTCGGTAATTTTATATAGCAAATACGTAAAGTATCGCTAAAATACCGATTTCCATTTATAGGGTCATTTTGGTAACCAAATAAGATAAATAATCGAAAATGGGTCAAAGTTTGCATTTTAGAAAATACAAATAAACTTGATGAAAGTTTCATAAAATTTATATAGAGAAATTAAATTCCTAAAACTGCAGGTGTTAAAAGTTAATTTCTAAAACTCAGATGAAATAAACTTATTAACAATATTAGCATGTAAAAAGAAACAAARCATGGAAGTAGCCTACTGGTTAAGGCGTGAGCTCTCTTGCGTCAGGTTGTGGGTTCGAAACCCATCCTCAGCATTTTCCTTACAAGTTATTTTTTTTAATGTAAACGGATTTGGGTCTTGGGTTGGGCTGACCAGGCCCGTGACGCGGCTACAGTACAATTTTCAAAACAGTAAGAAAA